AAATATATATAAATAGCCATAAACTACCAATGTGCTGGACCGTGTGACCATCCTTAGCAGGATTTTCCAGAGACGCAGGCACATTTTCTGGTTCATATATTTCGCCATGGTTCCATAAAGAAAATGCAGAGTATTTTTAAGTTTTCTTAGCTGGGAGCTAATTTTAATATCTTGACTCATGTACTTGACTGTGCAATTGTTGCACTACAGATTAAAGTCATGATTATAAGAATATTTTAGTTTCTTCTTGGTTGCATCATATAATAGTGCATTTAATAATGGGACTGTACAACAATGTTGATAATAAGGATCTGGGATCTGACGGAAATTATCACAGATTAATATTGGTGTCACTCATGCAAATGATGGCTTAGGAAACTTATATCAGCTCCAATTCCAAGAAGATAATTATAGAAAAGATTTTAAGATACAAAGATCACTCTCACTTATTTCTGCATTATTTTTAATATGAAAAAATGCTGAATAAGATTGACAGAAATTAATTATTTTATTTAAGTAAAATAGATTTGACCAATTTTATTGTATATTGTTTAATTGGTATACAAAAAAATTGGGCATTTAGCTGCCAAAAAATATTACATTCATAAAGACAAAAGGAATATCAAACTCATCTCTTATTAGACTTTTTTGTTTTTGTTTCTACCAACCTTCAAAGGGGAAAGAGATGTAGGGAGAAAAAGAGAAATGAAAGAGAAGATGGAAAAGGTAAACGGGAAAAAAAAGAGGGTACCGGTAATAAGGATAGAAGGATTTGAGGCAGGATGAAAGATTTAGATGAAAGTAGGTGGAACATTGAACGAGAAAAGCAGAAATTGAAATGAGGCAAAAGAAACTGCATGTTAGACCCGAAACAGACCAAATTATTTAAGTGTTCCCCTTGATTGCCACCCCCATTATGATGAACCTATCCTTATTAAAAGTGCCATAGATTTAAGTTGTTTTTTGTTTTTTTTTTAAGAAACGACTCAAACAGGATGACTTACATGCACGGTATGAGTGACTGCTACAGTCAGCAAAAAAATAAAGGTGAATGTCTCTACTTGCTTGTCCAGGAGGATATAATCCTTTAACGTGAATGAGTTAATGCAACCATTTTGGTTTCCTTGGATAGAACCAGTCTGTATGATTTAATTGAATTGTCATTTTAGAGCGCCTTGAGATGATATGTTCTAAATTGGCACAATATAAATAAAAATAACCTAAAAATAAACTAATTTATGAACTAATTTATGATCTAATTTTACAGACCTTTAGGTAGTTTGATTCAGTAACAAAATGTGTAAAAAATTAATTACACCTGTAAGCAAAATGTTTATTAAGTTTGTGAGTATTTACAGCATTTAATGCGTTTTTAAAGAGTTCCATTCAGGTTTCAGAGCTCATAGTACTGAAGCAGCGCTGTAAAAACTCCAAAATTATCCTGGGCTGTTCGTCCTTTCAGACCTCAGTGCCGCATTTAATGTCGTTTATCACATTATTCTTAGAAGGGGTGTAGGGATCCAGGGAACGGGCAACTGGGTGTTTTTATTTTATTTGTTCCAACATATGCAAGTTTGTTAGGCCTTCAAACTTAAGTGTTTCTGGAGTACCAAAGATTTCAATGCTTGTCTCCATTTCAACAGGATAAAACGGCATGTTATAAATCTTTACTATAATGCTAATATTCAGCTATATTTATCAATAAGTCCTGATTCATCTGATCAGAAGACTGCAGATATGTCTTATGTTAGATAAAATCTGTCACGAGAGGGTAAACAATGACAATCTCATTATTCAGGAAAATTCCACAAGACTTTTATTAATTAGAATCCTACTTTTCCTAATTATCTTTTTCAAATACATTTCATACATTAATTGCTGATGTGGAGAGTAGCCCCTCTTCACATCATACCAGGGGACTCCATCTCCAGTCATCCATGAGCTATTTCATTCAGACATGTAGGGCAAGTGACACATCTAAAAGTTCCAGCACACCTACCCTCCAGAATGCAAGTTTAATGACAATGCATCATACAAAAATAAATAATTACCAAATGAGATGCCACAAAAATTAGAATCACAACTGGTTAAGCACAAAAATCGAGTTAATGAAAATAAAAACATCAGAGCAAAAACACCTGTTAAAGACAGAGGATTCGGGGTTACTATGAGTGAGAAATTAAATGAAAACAAAAGACAAACCTTTGATGTGACAGAATTCAGAAAAAAAAAACATACAAGCATTTGATTTAATGATACTGAATAATGATTCAAAAAGAAAATAAAGATCAAAACAGTCAAATTCTGTTTTTTTCTGTCATCTCCTTTTTCCATTCTCTCCATCTTTTCTTTTTATCTTTCATGATCCCATAGAGAGCTGGGTGGTACCAAGATCTCTGGAGAGAGTAATCTGACATCGGATGATGTGTTATAAGCTTAGATGATGTTAATCATCCGCCTTCAGGCAAAAAAGATAAAAAGATAGATAAGTGAGCTGGCAGAAAGAGGATGGACAGGAAGAAAGAAGTGGTAAACAATGAGAAAGAAGGATAGGAGGCAGTGAGGGATTTCACAAATAAAAGAAAGATAAGGTTCAGCCGCATCATCCTTATCCTTCGCTTTTAACTATTCTTTTGTGTGCATTAACTTAGGCTGCAAAGCTGAAGCTTGTCAATCCAAAAAAGCAATCCCAGAGCACCCCCCCCCAAAAAAAATAAAATAAAAATGAAAACAGCAAAAATAATATAAGAACCCTTTCTTATATTATTTTGCTGTTTTCATTTTTTTTTTGTTTATTGTTTAACTTTTAAATCCTTTCTCCTGAATTGACCTTTTGCAGCTTTAAACAAAGACAATCACTTGCATCTAGTTGCACAGCTCCCTGTGTGAACATCATGTACACAGCCCACAGATCAATTCACTTAGTGCCCATGAAATATAGGGAGTGGGCAAGCGACTCTGATAGTCTGACATCATCGCTCCTGGCCATTAGGCTAAGTGCCATCATCATTCATGGCTCTGGGACCAGACTTGGCCTGCATTCAAGACCAATCCCTTTTTGTCCATGCTCTCTTGAACCATGAGAATTATTCTTAACCTGTTGATTAATGGTAAAGTGCAACATCAAGAATAAATAGACCGTTGATTCAGAAACTGATTTGCCTTTTACCATGTGCTGGAACTATTAAATTACCCCCAGGGCAAAGGTCACCTGTCAGATTTAGACAAGAGCAAACGATACATCACCTGCTCCCAAAATGCCTCCACATTAGTTCATGATACAAATTAAAACCCTGTAGAACAAACTGCATTGTTTCCTCTCAAGATTGGAAATAGTTTAATTGAAGCACTATAAAAAAATACATTGAACTACTGATCTTTACTTGAGAAAACAATCCTACTATAAGAATCAGAGACCCATCTCACCAAGTTGTCAAGTTGCTGCTGAAATTATAACAAAGATTTCCAAGTTTTACTTAAAGATTAAACATTGGACTACCTGTCCATTGTGTAAACATTTAGTCAATCAAAGTAAAGTTTAGGATGTGTGCATAAGGAGTATAAAGATTATATGCATGTAATATTTAGGCTGGCATTAGCACAACAACAATAAATGGTCCTAGTGGCAAAGACAATGCAAGTGAACAAGGTGTCTAATCAAAGCAAACTTATACACTAAACTCTAATGCAATTTTACATACTTTTAATACAAACTTTTTTGTTTTGTTTTGCATTAGAGAGTTATTCATGCAGAAGCCAATAATTAGCCATACCAGAAATAACATAAGGAGACCATGTGTCAACCTGATGTGACAAATGGTTCTGCATCAAGAGCGGAACTTGTGAAGCATTTCCAGACAAATTCCATAATAAAAGAAGCAAACATAAAAATCTAAAACACAAAAATCTAAAAACACTTTAACTTATGCTGGAATAAATGCTTTTAACATTTCTTTATTAAATAGGCAACAGTTACTCTGGCCAAAATACTTCACATATTCTGTTTAAGAGGAGCATAGGGATGCACTGAACTTTCTACCTTTAATTCCCATTGAAGTGATCGTGAATCTCATTAAATAACCATCCAAATACAACTTCACTTTTAATTAAAAAGTTAATGACAGAATCCGAATCGATCACATGTGCTGCATCTGCATGCATTTTTGTTTGTCAATCTACACTTTGGTCAACAATACAAATTAAATCAACTAATCCAACACTTTTATTACCCATCACCATCCATGACTGTGGAAACATGGGTAATTAAAGCTTGTCTAATATCCCATTTCTCTTTTGGATCGATGAAGCATTTGGGGGTAGTCGTTTCTAAACTGTTCAGATTCTTACAACCAAAATCACAACTACTAAAACTTACAATCCCAACCTTTTGTTGCGTATTCAATCATTACAGGTAGGCCAGATAAATCTGGATATGATTACAGCACAAAGTGGCACTACATGTTATATACTTGTAAGTACAGCTCTTCTTTCTATAGCATGTTTGCCTTTAATATAATTATGTTAATATCTTAAAAGAGTGATATTAATATATTTGTTGATTTGAGACAGCTCCTAGGATCCTGACCTCCAAACGTATTCTTTGCAGCATGGGAACATCTTATAGCTCTAATTCAAGCAAAGTTACTGCTTGGAAAACTTTAGACAGTTGAGTCTTAATATATCTCCCAAGGATGATTCATGTGACAGCCAAGCAGCCACATGTCTCACTGCTGCAGGCTCATTATAAAAAGGGCAGCAGCCTAAAACATCATGCTTTATAAAAGTCAAAGTTGTTTCTGACATTAACCACGTGTGGATCTTGAAGCATTAACTTTCACCCCATTATCTGGGACCAAAGCAATAAACTGAAAACTTCTCGGAGGTAACCCAATCAGGTCTGAGTATGATGACACCCCGCATTTTAAATGTGCGCTTTCCATTTACCACAGCTGGATTTAGAGAGCAGGTTGTTTCTATAGGTTATATTAGGTTATACTCACATCTGGGGTGTTGGGAATTGTCCGTGCGAAACAGACACGGTCGTCAGAAGAACCAACAAACAGAGGGAGTAATCCATAGCTTTTCTGTGTTCAATCCCAAAAACGATTCATAGAATGAGAAAGATGCAAAAAAAAGTGATGAAAAATCCAAAGCGGTGTCCCCCTGCGCTTCATCCAAACGCTTCACACCGCCATCGGTGCGCGTTTGGAAACATTTCATCTGCTTGTTATCCAACTGCCCCCCTCCGCCTCTTTTCCCTCATCCTCCTCCCACCGCTGGAGTTCAGGGATTTGATTTTTTAGGTTTTACTTTTAGACATCCTTCTCTTAAATTTCGAACAAATATGAAAGGCAGTTTGATAGCGGCCCAAAAAATAAAAAATAAAAAATGTTTTTTCAAAGAAAAAAAGAGAAAAATGGGAGGGCGCAACAGATCGGTGCCTGCTTGCTACTGCACACTGTAAGAAACATCCTCTCAGATGTCAGGCACGCCAAAAGTGGGTTTAAATGGCTTTTAGACAGTTTTTAAGGTAAATATAAAACATACATAGGAAAGATTGAAGGCTTTTATTAGGGGACAGAATATGAATATCAAGGGGAAAGACAAAGAATAGGCTGGAGACGCGCGTCTGTTGCGCTTCTGGGTTCCCACCAGACTGGATCGCATAGCAAAATTGATTGGTGCGTTTTATGTGCGGCTTTTGGCAAATAAAAACCAAAAATATTTGTTTTTAATGCGGAAACTGTCATTTTTCTCTAGTCAAAAAAACGATTACATTAAAAATGCCGGGTTTGATTTTCCTTTCATAGAATTACGGTAATTATTTTTCATAATCCAAATTATCTAACAAATACATTTATTTGTAATATATATATATATATATATATATATATATATATATATATATATATATATATATATATATATATATATATATATATATATATATAGAAATGTTCACAATTAGCCCTGTCTGAACTCAGACTTTATATTTGTTAGCAAGTAATTTTGTTTATTTATATTTCTAATGCAGAGACATTTGGTCTTCACATAATCAAAACATCTCCAAAATCAAATGCTGGTCTAGGAATATAAAATGTTCAAAATTTATGTAAGCTAGTGAAGAGATTTATATTCTTTTATAAGTCTTAAAGAAAATCAAATCAACCCTAAAACTGTACTCGTCTTATTACAAACAAGGTAAAGTACAATTTTTAAATGATTTTCAAAATTGAAGCTAAATCTTTTTCTTATTATGGGTTTCTAAGTGAAATATAACATGACAAAAACATGCACTGACTTATAGTGTACATTTCCATGACATAACCTCAAAAGCATTCAGAAAAAAAATGAAATAAAATCACAGTCCTTCTAGTCTTTCATAATTAGTAGAACGCTGTTCAAGTATTGAAAGTTGAAATAATACTCCATTCATTAAACCAATTTTTATTAGTAATAAACTAATAAGACTTTGGAAAATTTTAGGAACAGAGCTTTGTTATAACAAGTACTTTCCTTGGGTAACAATTTCTTTTTAATGGTTCATGTCATGCAGAATGACTAAATGCCAAAATCACCTGTTTAAAACATGAAAAATCAGATTACTGTTTGCAAAAGCACTCAAGCACAATGGCCTTCATTTTGGTGACATGTTTCATGGTTTAAAGAAACTAAAATGGAAACCCCTAACCATAAACATCATCATATTAGGTGATAAAAAAGTTAAGCTTGCAAATATAAACCATCCCAATTGTGAGATACAAGGGCGTCAGCGTCAAATGGGTATTTTACTGCCGGTGGATAGCTGTACTTCACTAAACAGATGGCATCATTTGGAAATAACCTTGTGTGAAAATACTGAAGCAATATCTCAGGACAATTACCTACAAAGCAAAAGCTTGGCCACAAATTGGTCTTCCAAATAGACAATTACCTCAAGCATACAATCATATTATTCAGAAAATGACAAATAAAGGACGAAGTGAATGTTTTGAAGAGGCCATAACAACAACAAGAAAAAAAAAACTGATTGCAGTCACATACATAATAGATTTAGACCAAAAAACTGTAGTTTTCTACCTACAGTGCATCTCAAGAGGTTTAACCTCACTTAAGTCTCTATTAGCAGTTACAGAGATTTACTTAAGACCTGCAAAGTTTGTTTTTACAGTACTAAGTTTTGATATATCTAATTTTTCTTTAGATTTTGTTCAAACCTCCTTCGTATCCTTAACAATTTGAGTGATTATATTGCCTTAACTGATTTGCAGAAAATTTCTCAGTCTAGAAACTATTACTATTATGTCGAATTATGTCTTTTTCTAAGAATGGTTCGCTGTTTTATTATGGATGTCAATGCGACTTTTCATTGAATTTCCAATTATACTGTGCCTCCATTTATGCTGAAATGTGATAATAAATTCCCCTTGCTCCAAGGGTTGTAGCAAACATAATTTAAAGTGACATTTGCCTTTTCTGGGAAGTGTACTGAGGTAAATACTGAAATAATACTGTTTGTCTTTAAAGACTCTTGTTATAGACTAACTATCTGTGAAACACCAATGTTATTTTCAGAAGAAAGGTCGTTGTTCGTCTGTAATTGCATGTGTAAGGGTGAATGTGTGGAAGGTTTATCTCGACAAGAGCCACAACAGTCAAACTGAGCAAAATGCTGCTCACCTGCTGTTATTTGAATTACTTAAATAGATTTACTGTGCAAATAGCAGCTCAGTCTGCCCCTCTCAGGTTTCACTGTAACTGACAAAAGCTGATCCTCTGGGATCCCTTGCTGGGCAGGAAGGGGGTTGAAAGGGGGGGGGGGGGTGCATGTATTTACAGAACAGCAGTAGAGGGGAAGTAAAAAAAAAACAAAACAAAAAAAAACACTTAAAACAAAAAAAGATAGTTAATTCACATATGTCAGAAAATTTTTATATATAAGGATTAGGCAATAATAAAAACTCCTGATGTTGGAAAAGAAAATCCATATGATATACATTAAAAACATCCTGGGGTTGTAAGGAAATTTGACAGATTGGTCAAATAAAGTTAGCCTAACTAAATAAATGTTTACTGATGGCAAATTCACAAAGTATTTCTATGTCGACATTTCAATGGCTGCCCATAGTCTGTGAGCTATTAGTGAGACAAGGGGTGCACCCAGAATAGATTTAAATTTCAGTTTAACAGGGACCAGGCAACAACCAGTGCAGACAGATTTAGAGCCATAAGCATTTTAAGTGGCCGATGATCCCATGACCATTTTTGGGTGGTGAGAGGAAGCCATACATCTAGAAAGAACATGCAACTCCAACTGAAAACTAATATGTAGTCTAGAAAAAAGGCCATTTGTCTAAAAGCTGTGCACAGCAAAAGGTGTATTTCTGCTTGTATATCTGTGATATTTTTATAGTTATATATGGCATGGTGGCATGCTTAGGAAAAACAAAACAGCATGTTGGTAAAGGTGCCACATTTAACCATCCCGTTTGGTCGATAGTTAATGATTTTTGAGCCAAAGACTTTGTATTTTACAATCTCAATGTAACCTTTGACCTTATTCATATAACATAGCATTCTACTGTGAAGTGTAAAAAACATTTGACTGCTAAAGTTTGGTTCAAAATGGGTGATGTAACTGTACAATGATCCCCAAAAGATCAGTAAATAATTAAAAGAGGGTAGTAAAAGAAAAACAATATAAACATGGTTTAGAAAGTAGCAATCCACCTTAGTTCTGTTTTAGAAAGTTGGATTAAACTATTCTGGGCAGAGACCAGTTTTGGCTTTTTGGTTACATGATTTTTGGTTTAGAACTGGGAACTCAAGTATAAAATGTGTGCTTATTAAAAAAACAACAACATGTTGTGCAATGTTTAACATAAAACATGACATGTTTGAAAGTGTGCACCAACCCATGCAAACGTTTGACCTACCACACAAACTAACCAAAATAACAAGCTAAAAAGAACTAACTCAATAAAATAAAATTTAGCTCTATTTAACTATAAACTAAAACAGCACCAAACCAGCTTTTTTTTCCACAGGTTTAATCTTTTAAGAGTTTAACTTGAGCAATCAATCTGAATCATATTTAACCTCATAAAACACAGGAATACATCTAAAAAATAACAGCCTCAGTCAGATGAACTCGCTATTTTCCTGCTGAGCTCATATTAATATCAATCCATCTGTGTGCCAAGGAACATATAATCTATATTTTGAAAGGGAAGCTTTTATTCTAACAAAAAAGTGGCGAATCAGCAGGTGAATTCCAGATTAGATCAATTTTCAAGTTGGAGAGGGTCTAGACGTCTATGGATGTCCATAAATAGCATGTATAATTTTGCACGGGAGACGGGTGTTCAAAAGGCCTGCTGACCAACTGGTTCATAATGATGGGTGGATAGCTGCTACTATTTACGGTAATGTCTACCATCACAGAGTGGCACTAAGAAACAGAGAGTCTCGATTCCACTTTTACTTCTACAGTAACTACCCGGCTGTGTACGGTCAACATGAGAGATCCCCATGACAACCATGACACCAGTAAACACCATATATCTCAGATAATAGATATACATCCAATCACAATTTGAAATGAGGAGCCAATTTCCTAAGTACACTATACTTATAAAAGGCACCATCTGTAAATGTACTCTTCTACATGAAAAACACTTTCATAAAAAGTCATGCACATATTTGTGATGCGCAAAGGTGTCTAAAAAAAACAAAACAAAATGGCATGTTGAACGGCTTAATTCAGGATTCCTTCACAGGTACATTATAAAATTAGAACAATTATAAATAATGCTTGCAGGTGCCAAGCAGGAAACTAGCACGGGGGCTGCATCTTAATATGTTTTTTCTTTGTCTATTCCTGCATTGTTTATTACATTTAGTGTAGCCACCCTATCTTGTTTATGTGATGGTTGTCTTCCTAATAGAAACATGGGGGTCATATTCAGGTCTTAATGATGAGTGAGACATTAAGATAAGCTCAATAACTAAGCTTGGGTGTTATTAATCAGATTTGGCAAATAGAGAATCAAAGCATCATCCTCAACATAAGATTTATTTAACATAAAAAATAACAAGTGTATTCCAGTAGGTGGAAAAAGGAAGTAGCAGTTAAACAAGATCAAAATATAAAAATGCAGTTAAATCAGCTTTGGTCCAGATAGCAGCTGTTATGTTTAACCTTTACCAAAGGTTTACCAAATGACC